CAACCAGTTTCTCCTCAACTACCCCTCACTGCCAGCACTCAGTGAGTCGACACACTCATCCAGCATCAACATCCGTCCTCTGAGACACTTTGAGGACGTGACAGCAGCTGTGTCAGAGCTCAGAGACAAACTACAGGACGTCCTGAGAGACTCATGGACAAACATCTCACTGATGGTCACTGAGGTGGATGTTCTACTGTCAGAACCAGAACCAAAGAGCAGAGCTGGATTATTAAGATATTCACGTGAAATCACCTTGGACCCAAACACAGTAAACAAATGGCTGGTACTATCAGAGGGGAACAGGAAGGCGACAGTGATGGATCAACCTCAGCCTTATTCTAATCATCCAGACAGATTCACTGATTGGTATCAGGTTTTGAGTAGAGAGAGTCTGACTGGACGTTGTTACTGGGAGGTGGAGTGGAGCGGGTTAGGGATTTATGTAGCTGTAGCATACAAGAATATCAGCAGAGCAGGATGTGGGAGTCAATGTGGATTTGGAAATAATGACAAATCTTGGGCTTTATCATGTGACCAAAATAGTTTAACAATTGGTCACAACAACATCTGGACCTCCATCTCAGGTCCAAGTTCCTCCAGACTAGGAGTGTACCTGGATCACAGAGCAGGTCTTCTGTCCTTCTACAGCATCTCTGAAACCATGACTCTCCTCCACAGAGTTCAGACCACATTCACTCAGCCGCTACTGGCTGGAGTTTGGGTTGTAGGTTCTGCAAAGTTCTGTAAACCCAAATAGATTTCCTCTTTTGTCTCTGTGATTGTTGATCAGTGTTTATTGTTCTGATATCTTGTTCTTTTCTTCTTAATGTTTTTGGCTTAAATGTAGTACTTTGGCTCTGTTCCAGAATATCAATGCTGTTGTTTTCTTCCAATCTTATATGACACAAAAATATTTCTCCATATATAAAGCTAAACTTCTCTGGGCTACAGTAGATTTGCTATAATATCTGTATTGATGTATTTGGAAGTTTTCGTTGTTCTCAGTTGAGTCCAAAGCAGAAACTGAAACTAACATGAACTGATGTTTTCTTCTCAATTTTTAGATTTAGATCACAGACATAAATATCTGCTGTTCTGTCTCTTTGACTTTCTTCAATAAAACTTGATTAGAGAGAAATATGTAAAGTTTTCTCTTTATTATTCCAATAAATTGTAATTTCCTAACATAATTTTTCTTCAGACTGTTTAGTGTGATGCTGTAGAAGATCAGATGTTCATCATGAACTCTGCTTCCAGCTCTGCTGCACACAGATTACAGAAAGAAACATTTATTACAGGAACTGATCAGTTCACCTGCTAATACAAACAAATTTGAATTCAATCAGTGATTTTTATCTATAGATATTTGTGTCATGTTTTTTGTTCTAATTTAGGTAATTATTTATGTTAAAAATATTAATAGTCAGAATAATCAATTTATCAATGTGAAGTTTGATGTTTTCTTTAAGCTGTGATATGGAAAGAAGAATTACAGAGAATAAACTCAGTAAATATGTAACTCTTGATTGTAAATGAGGAGACAAAGGTTAGATGTTCAGATCTACTCTGTATTCTGCAGGCGCTAAAACTTTGCTAACCCTCATGCTTTCTTTTGCTCTAAAACACAACAGATCAAGTCAACTTTGTTATAGCCAATGGGCAAATATGTAGATATAGAGTCAAGTAATACTTTAAAATTTAAATATATTGTATATATAAAAGTATTGGAAATAATGTATAAAGCATTGAACAAAAAGTCTTCCTTCTGGTATTCAGAAATTATTTAAATTAAGAGAGAATAAATATAATTTGTGAGGTTTGTTTATATTTGAACATGCAAAAGAGAAGAGCCAGGTAAAGTCCAGATGTGTTTCAGTTATTGGCGTGAGTGTCATGATCCGTAGTTCCATCCATCCATCCATCCATCCATCCATCCATCCATCCATCCATCCATCCATTTTCTTTACACCTTTGTCCCTTAGTGGGGTCGGGAGGGGTGCTGGTACCTATCTCCAGCTAACGTTCCGGGCGAGAGGCGGGGGATGATCCGTAGTTTTCTGTTTATTTTTGAGTTGTTTCTGTGTTTATTGTTATCCTGTTCCCTGTGAGTCTGTCTCTGCGTGTTCCCCATTGATTGTTCCCAGGTGTGTCTCATTCCCTTGATTACCCTCCCTGTGTATTTAAACCCACCTGTTGTCTTTGTCTCTTGTCGGGTCCTTGTCGTTTGCACGTCCGTCTTACGTCAGTTGTTTGACGTCTATGCGCTCCAATAGAACTGTGAAGTCCTGGATAGCGTTAGCTCTCGTTTCCAGTCCTGTGTATCAGTTGCTACCGGTCTTTAGCTGTGTGCTAATCTCTCTACCGTGCTGCCTGTGTTGGACTGTTTTGAGCCTTCATCATTAAACTCTTCATCACCATAACCTGGGTCTCTGCATCTCCCCTCAACACCATCAACCCTATTTTATGACAATTAGATTTGTCCT